AAAAAATTTTATAATTGGTTATATATGTAATAAACTGAAAATTTTTAATAATTTGTTTATTTTATAACCAAAGTTATTTTTTGTTATAGGATTTGCTATTTCAATCAGACTGTGTATCTCTACACTGTACCTTGAACGAACACAATCACCATCTAATAAACGAATATACTATCAAACAGGTATGTACGCGCGCACATCTGCACGTATATATATGTATATACTATATTTATATATGTATGTCTATAAAATTATAAGGAATATTTATATAAAGTTTTTGATTATTACATAGAGACTTTACAGTACAATTTAATCAATTTTATTATATTAGAAAAAGAGATTAGTTTTTATTATAAAGACACAGCATTTTTAGAGGATTATTCTTTATTAATTGTTACTAGTTTATCAGTAGATATTTTAGATATTATATTTAGAGATACGATATATAATTTAATTTATGCATTATTATTTATTGCAAAACTGAGAAATCTCTGGAAATATATTGTCGAGATTTATTTATTTTATTTGAATTAGTTATGATAAAAAAATTAATGATTATATAATTATAACTTTTGGCGTTTTTATATATTAAAGTAAAAATGATAATATAAATTAACTATTCTATAAGAGAAAAAAAAACATTATGCATTTGTTGTTTGTAGATGAGACCGGGAGCATTTTTAGTCAATACAGCGCGAGGTGGTCTGGTAGACGACGATGCACTTGCTGCAGCGCTCAAACAAGGTCGAATTCGCGCGGCGGCGTTAGATGTCCATGAAAACGAGCCATACAACGTCTTTCAGGGTCAGTCCGCGAATCAGTGTGAGTCTTATCTGTCCCGGTGCCTAACTCCGTCTCGACTGACTATTTGTTACCTTTCCAAACTTCCTCCATGGCTTATAAAAGAAGGGGGAAAAAAAAAGATAACAGTAACATAAGAGAAAAAGAATAAGAAAAAGAGAAGCAGTCATAATGAAGATGTATATTTTATGGTAAAAATAATTGTATATAATTTTTCTGGTAATTCTATATGTATATATAATTAATAAAAATATTAGTAAGGATAGATTAAATTGCTATCTAAGTTTCTACATAATTTTATTATTTATATTTTATATTCAATACGCAGAATATCACGGAAGATTGTCTATTATGTATCATATTCTATATAGAATTATCCATGAATTATATATATAAGAAAAGTAGCAATTTTTTAATCTCAGTTTTCTATATTATATACATCTTCTGAAAAAGTATCGGACATTGTTAAATCACATTTGCGTGCTTTTGATTTTCTTGATCGTCGATTTTGCAATGTATATTGTACAGGTCCATTGAAAGATGCGCCCAATTTACTATGCACCCCACATGCCGCCTTCTATAGTGATGCAAGCTGCACCGAGTTACGCGAGATGGCGGCGAGCGAGATACGACGGGCGATCGTCGGCCGCATACCCGACTGCCTGCGCAACTGCGTGAACAAGGAATACTTCCTTTCCTCGACTGGGTAAGCGCCCTCTTCCCCAGCCAGGCTCTGTCTGCCTGCCTCCCCCTGCCTCTCGCGATTCTCAGAGTTCGAAAAATAATTTAAAAAAGAAGAAGTCTGTCTCACGATATATATATATATATATGCAGTTATATTGACACAGTATATTACATTTATATATGATGTTTACATTCCTCTCTCTTCTTTTTTCTTTGATTGCAAATCACCGGGGGAAAAGGGATACAGTGACTGTCACGAAATTGATCAAATTTATGTAAAAAATTATCTATAGAGATTCGTATTGTACATTTTAGAAATATATTATTTGTATTTTTCTATAGCGTAAGCTATAAAAATGTACTAAGAATGTATCATTTATATATTTTTTCTGATAACGCGAACTGTAAAAATTTGTTTTTATATATATGCCTGCTCTCTTCTCCCTCCTTCTTATTGTATTAAGGCTCCTGGTCCCTCACTGCAGCGCCATTTTAAGTTTTGACATCAAAAAAATCGCATGGATTTTTTTTCTCGCATTATGCGTCGAATTAAATTAGTTTTTTTTATAACTTAATTAATCAAAGACTTTGGTTTATATTTGTATTCGTATATCAATAGATCAATCTTCGACTATTATAAAAAAATTTTATTTTCATGAAAAACATTCATTAAAACACGCGTACATAGATTTATTAAAGAATGCCTATTAAAAGGAGAGTTTTTTTAAAGTATATTGCATCAATTTATATTCTCAAACACGAATGGCAGTAAAACTAATTTACTTTGATTCGTATTAGCGAGAAAAATAATTTATATGATTTGTCGCTTTTGACTTCATAATCTTCCTGACAAGTGCTGATTTGTATATATATATATGATATACTCTCTGCTCTTTCTAAAAAATCAAGACACGAGTTGCGTGTATATGGCGCTAATCTCAGAATGTATAACTTATTATATTGGGTTATGATGTCATAATACCTTAAGACTGATTGAAGAGAGCGAGAATCTTTTTATATTATTTCTATAATATTTTACAAATTATTACTATCGTATATAATAAGATATAAAATATATTATTGGAAAAATGGAATAAACGAAATTAAAAATTAAAATTAAAGATATATCGAAAGGCTTTAAAAACTAAAAAAAAAAAAATAAAAAATAAACATGAGAAAAAGAGAGAAGATAGACAAGACGGACAATTTTATAAGCTAATGGGTTTTTTGGTTTATCATCATGTTTATTTTTGAAAATTTTAAAAAGTCAGAGACATTCCAAACTATCTTAAATCTATATTTAGAGATACAAAAATTATGCTTAAGATAGTTATAAAGTTATAAAAAATACTTAGCATATACAAATTTTAACATTTCTTGAAAAGGAAAAAAAAGATTTAAAATTATTTATATAAAAATATAAGCTCCATTTCTTCCAAAATTTTTTTATATCTTTTATTAAAGCAATTTTCGCAAAGTGCTAGCAAAACAATGAAAGAATTTCAGAAAAATGATAAAAATATTTTAGAAAAGAATACACTTTTTTTTTCTTATTTATAGAGAATAGAAAAAAAATTAATAAAAATGGATATTTTTTTGTTCAATAAGGAAGAATCTTAATAAAAATTTTTGAAATTGCTGAAAGAAGAATATTAAGCGTTGAAATGTCCAGTTGAATTGTCTAAGATGGCGATTGTAACAACAAGGAAAGAGGAGCCAGAAACCTTAACTAAAATTTAACGGAAAAATTCTTAAAATATTATTAGATCAATTTCGTGATATGAGTAACACTGTATCTCTGGTAATTTTCAGAAACGGCTTTTCGAGCAGATGTTAACTTCTCTTCTCTTCCGAGTGAAAGTCCGAAAGCGATCGTGAAACTCGAGCGTGACAAAATCTCTCGATGCGTGTGTGTATAGAGTATAAAGACTAAGCGCTTAGACGAGACTTATATAGAAAATGAAACGAAAGAAAGAGACAAAGAAAAAGACGATTCCGTTCTCGGGAATCTTGATGACCTGTGTGTGCGTTCTCGCGTTCCTGTTCTCGTTGGCGAGGAACGATTGCTACTCTACCTAGAGCACACCTAGAGCGCCACTTAGAGCGTAACGAAAAGTCACACACAGAGTCAAAAAGAAAAAGAAAATTGGAAGCTACTCTACACACTACAAATAAAAGCTACTCTACTACATAAGTACTGAAAAAAAGTGGCGCGCGAAATTTTCAAGGTCTCGCCCATGATGTTGTTTTTCGCTTTCTCTTTTCTTCAGCAGTTACTCCGAGGGCATCAACGGCGGATACTATGCGGGGGCGCTGCCGGTTCAACAGACAGCGCATTCGACGACTCCTCACGATACTGCGCCCCCACCCCCGGTGCCTGGTGCCGGCGGTGGCGGAGGTAGCGGCGGGGCCGGTGTTGGAGGGGGCGGGGGCAGCGGAATCGGCGGGCCCAACTCCTCGTCCTCGTCTGCCGTAACGGTGACGGGGGCCGCGGGCGGTGGGGCCGG